TGTCTCCACGTCTGCTATCTGTGCGTGTGTGTGTGTGTTTGTTTGTCTGTAAGGACAACGATTGAATTTTAAACAAGAAGGACAAATGCCGGCAATCAAGTGAAGTCATGTTAAAAGAGCAGCAAAATGAAGTCCCTGGCTCCGGCTCCAGCTCCAGCTCTGGCTCTGGCTCTGGCTCAGCATTGTAACAATAATCAATATGCAGCAGTCAATAAAGGCAGCCCAAGGAGTCCGCACGGTCCTTGCCAAGGAGCAACAATTACAGACGCCGGATAGCAGAGAGCGGGAGAGCGGGAGAGGTGCGGCGTGGGCGAGGGAGCTGGAGCTGGAGGTGGAGGGCATGGCCCCATAGTTTTGCTGTGCGTCGGTTAAATGATGTGTAATCGTCTTATGTGCACTTGAATGCCTTTTGGCTTCTAATATGGGCAGCGAGGCGACAGACAACATTGGCGACAAGGACCTGCCAGAATGGACAAGGACACAAGCGCCGGCCAGAGCCAGAGCTAGAGAGAGAGGGAGGGCGAGTCGGGCCAAAGGCGGCCCAAGTAACCAATTCGCACACACAAAAGAAAACTTTGCCATAGGCTGACCTCAAAATGCACAACGAACGGCGGACCGGCGGACTGTGTGGACCCAAGGACCTACCAGGGCACAGGACGCCCGGCAAACTTTAATTTACAATCAATTCAGGCGTGAATAATAAACCACAAGAAACCAAACAGAGCCCGGGCACTGGCCAAAGACAACGCACAAGTGAAAGTGTTGCCAACTAGCTGCAGTTTAAACTGCTTAGCTGTGTGTGTATGCGTGTGTGTGCGTATGTATATGCTCTGAAATTTAGTTACAACACAACACCAAAAGTTTTCGAGCAAGTTTCCAAACAAACAAAGCATAGAACCTGGCCCGTTGCCACTGAATGCGAGTAGTGAAACCCCCCCAGACCCCAGCATAGACTCCGGACCCAATACCCAGCTCCCCAACCCGCGCAGACCGAACCGCAACACTTCCGCCTCCATTCAGCATTTCAAGTTGAACGTCAAGTGTCTTGTCCGGCCGAGTCCCTGGCGACGTTTGCGTCTGGCTCCCTGTGCCGGGCTATCAATATTGTTTTCCTATTAAATTGATCATTGGTCAGCAACAATTGTGGCTGGACGTCCAGTTAGCCCGCCCCGCCCCGCCCCGCACCCCACCACAGCTGCCTTTGTTCGGCCTTTGTCCGTGGCTCTGTTGAGTGGCAGCCCAAGGGAGCAGCCAGTGCGTCCGGCTGCCCATTGCTATGCATTAATTGTACGAATCTAATGAAATTAATTGAAATGCTTGGCTGATCAGGCAACGTTCAACCCGAGGGGGGGCCAGAGGGGGAAGGTGCAAGTGGCCAGTTGGTCAGGAGAGGTTGTCTCTCAAACATTAATCAATTAGAGCATCAAACATGGAACTCGTAGCCTATCAATATTAGAATTCTAGTTCAGTTCGATCTGTATATATGTAGCTTCACCCTAGCTTCATTTCTTTCTCTTTCTTTTCCATCCAGTTGTCTATATCACTCTCTCACTCTCACTCTCTCCCTTTCATTTCAAATGGATTCCAGTGCAATTTGATCTGTATATTGTTTCTCTTTAGTTCCCATTGCTGCCTCTTTCATTTCCATCAAATTGTCCGTATCATTCTCTCACTCTCTAACTGCTCGCTGCTTCTCTTTCCTACTAGGACTCTGGTGCCCTCTGATCGCCATATATAGTTCCCTCTAATTTTAATTCCCATCTCTTTCGTTTCCTCTCAGTTGACTGTATATATATATATATCTCTCTCCTTCTTTCATTTCAAATGGACTCATGCCATCATCATAATATGATATTATTCCATCAATCTATGGTTTCTTTCTAGCTTCAATTCGTGCAGCTCTATTTGTCGCCTTGCTTCTCACTCAGTCTTTCCGCTCTCCATCTGCAAATGTTGACATGGGCATCAATCAGCAAATAGCATAGAATTCCTATCAGCCCCCCCCCACACACACACACACCCACACATATACACATACAGATATGTATATGCACGCACATACACATGCAAATATATAAGCATAAGCAGCCACTGCATTAATTCATAACGCATCTGCCTCAGCACCCGCGCCTCCCCCCACGCCCCCAACTGGCCATTCTTATAGACAGCCCCGCTCAAGTGGCAGCCAAATTCAACTCAATTATGCACAATTACAGACACAAACAGGCCAAGTGGCCGTGTGGTGGCTGGAGGCTCGCATGCATGCGCCAAGCGGGCCCCCATTTAATAGCCAAACGACCTTAATAGGAGCCTGAGGCAACTTAACTGCGCGTTACAATGACAGCCGCAGCAGCCGTCGCAGCAGCAGCAGCGGCAGCAGCAGCCGTTGGCAGTGCTCCTAGTGGCGCCTCCTGCAACGAATTCTTTTCCCTTTTTTTCGGGGCTTTATATTGGAGGGAGGGGCAGCGAGGGAGGGACAGTGTGTGTGTGTGGCTTGTAAGGTGGGGCAGCAAACAAATGCAGTTGCATTCAGACGGTGCGGCACTTGGCTGGCGCTTAAATTGCATGCATAGCTCATTGCTTGGCACTCGACGTGGCTGAAGTGCAGCTGTAAAATGCAGCGCGGGCGAGGGCGGGTACAGGGGGGGAGGCGGTCCGTGGTGCCTGCTGTCAAAATGGCATTGAATTGCTTAAATACTTTTGGTAATGCGGCAGAGGAGTCGTTGGCTTAATGGCTGGCTGGCCGGCAGGAGACGGGAGACGGGAGGCAGGCGACCAGCCAGCGAGGCAGAGGCAGAGGCAGCGTCGCTTTTTTGGTTGCCATGCGGCATGTGCCCCAAAATGAAGCAACATATGCCAATGGCAGGCCATGAATAAACGGCCTGTGCAACTGCACGAATGAATGAGTGAACGAACGAACGAGCGAGCGGGCGGGCGAGGGGGCGAGCGAGCGATATGAAGTGCAATCAATGCAAAAATGTTTTCAAGTACACAGCCAGGCATCCAGGCGAGGCAGGCAGCGATGCAGGCAGCGTTCAGATGCACCCGCTGCACCAGATGCAGCGCAACTAGAGATAGCTACGAGTGTGTGTGCGTTTGTGTGTGTGTGTGTATTGAGGCACGTCGGTGTGAAAGGATTATTCACACACTATTGATTTCAAATTGAGTTGACTTCAAATCCGTCTGAATTGACAGGCAGTCAGCTGAGGCAAGGCAACACATGGCAACGGCTTCAGCTATAGCTTCCAGCCATATCTCTGTCTCTGTGTGTGTGTGTGTGTGTGAATCCGGAAGTTGACTAATGAATTTAATTTGCAGTGGGTGTTGAAGCAAATAGAGCGACAAACAGATACACATGCCAGCCAACTAACCAGCCAGCCAGCCAGGCAGACGAACAGACATGAAGACGGAGCTTCCAGCCAGACAGACAGACATCCAGAGGACTCACCGACTCACCGACTGACTGACTGATTGACTGATTGACTGTCAGATTCGAGTGGCTGTCTGCGCTGTGCTGTGCGTAAGTAGGCAACTGTTTTTGTTTGGCCAACACTGTGCATGGCAGCTGAGGCCATATGGCGTCAGTCCCAGCACGCCTGCCTGATGCCATTAAAAGTCTTTAAATCGATTAAATAGCATTGCGATATTCGATATTTCATCCAATGTAGAATATTTGAATTTAGAAATTCGTTTGAAAATTTGCTAGTGTGTGTGAATATTTATGTGAATTTATTTATTTATATGTACATAGATATATATTTTGGTATGTTTGGGGTTCGCTCACTGGTGTCCCTCAGTTTGCAGGCTGTTGAAGCGCGAGGGAAATTGAAATATATGTATAATATATAATAATATAGAAAATCTAGTGTATTAATCTACGTCCAAAGAAAGGCGTGGCAAGTTTAAAGGGTATCTATGTCTTATAAGTGCTTCGGTCTAGCAGATTTATTAGGGCAGATTCCCTATTTAATCTTTTGCCAACATAGACTAAACTATTTTTGACACCATTGGGGAGTATTATGAAGTCAATAACACCCAACTGCAACAATCTTAGTAAGACTCTCTGTCAATTAGTTTATCTAATAAAAATCTGCATTTACATATATTCCAATTTAAAATAATTTTTGCCTTGGCCCAGACTAAAATAAAAAAAAAATAATAATAATAAAAAAAAAAAATAAAAATTAATTTGTAACTTTTTTTTTTTTTTAATACTTAGTACGATTTTATTGAATTTATTATTATTTTTTTATATTTTTTATTTCACTCTCTACATGTATGCATTACAGAAAAGCTATAAATTATTTTTGCAGCTTCTACTTGTGAAGCTGAATAAAAACATAGAATCAATGTCTCAATTGAAGCCAAAATATTTGCTTAAATTGCATATGCACTTGATGCAGCATATTTAAATATTTCGTTAGATTTTATTCGATTTTATATATTTTTTATTTTATGTTCAAAGTGTTGCCCATTGAGCATGCTATGAATTTAATTGACAGAATGAATGTTAATGTGTGAAACATGTAATATATGTAATGTAATATCAATAAATACCTTTTTCTAGTGGAATATGGAGTAGCTCAATCGCAAGCTGCTCTCTCACTCACAAGCCTAAGCTTAGCTCGATCTGAAGCTCTGTTTTCAGTGGATCTTCTTCGTTCACTCTCACTTTGTAATATTCAGAAAAAGACTTCAGAAATGCTTAGACACTTTCGCTTGAGCTCTACTCATATTCAGAGTTGTCAAAGTTGTGTGATGTATGTCACGTGGCAATCTGAATCTGACAGCATTGAAAACGCTTCACAAACTGAAAGTGGAAAATGATTCACAATTCAACTCCGCGCCCGGATAAGCTGCGGCTTGCCCACATTCGTGTGCGGATCTCGTGGGCTGTTTGAGGATCCTTTTGAGTAGGCGTCGCCTGGCTGCGCTGCCACATCTGTCCATGTGGCGAATGGGGATGGGATGTCAGTTAGTTTTACTTCGGCATTTGTTAGTTACACACACACAACAAACATTGTAAATCCTTTTAATAATTTTGTTTTTTTCGTGTGTCTGGTTTTTCGTATTTATGTGTCGCCTCTACTAGGTAAATATCTATTCGCAACAAGACAATATATTCGTACACATACATACATATATCCACATACGAAGTCGTTGTTTCATTGTTGATCGTCGACTTGTGAGAAACATGAATGAATACTTAGATAATGCCAGGCGCAGCATTCAGCGGGCGATGAACAGCAGCTACCACTCCCTATCGACGGTGGCCAGCACGGCCGGTGGCCTGGCCGCCACCGGCGGGATCCAACTAATAGGCCGCCTGCTGGGCCTGAAGGCCCAGGTCTCAACGGAGTCAATGGCCGGCCTGCAAACGACGTCAAGCTCGGATCTGGGCTCGCCGTCAACGGGGGCGTTCGATGAGCAGCAAAGGCGACTGATCAGCGTGGTATGCGGGTTTCCCAAGGACATCGTCATGTATCCCGATTATGTGAAGGGGCAGTTCGGCGAGGATGCCTGGTTCAAGACCTCCACCTCGAAGGCGGATACGCTGGGCGTGGCCGACGGCGTCGGCGGCTGGCGTGTATATGGCATCGATCCGGGCCTGTTCAGCCGCTTCCTGATGCGCTCCTGCGAGCGCCTGGCCCACACCGCGGACTTTGAGTCGACGCGCCCCGAGCTGCTGCTCGCCCGCGCCTACTGCAATCTGCTGGAGCAGAAGCAGCCCATCCTGGGCAGCTCCACCGCCTGTGTGCTGACGCTGCACCGCGAGAGCGGCACCCTCTACGCGGCGAACATCGGAGACAGCGGCCTGCTGGTCATACGCAACGGGGCCGTGGTCTGCCGCTCCGAGGAGCAGCAGCATCACTTCAATACGCCGTACCAGCTGGCCGTGCCGCCCCCTGGACAGGGGCTCAACGTGCTGACCGATGGGCCCGAGTGCGCCGCCCTCCTGGAGTTCGACATGCAGCCGGGCGATCTACTGCTGCTGGCCACAGACGGTGTCTACGACAATGTGTCCGAGGAGCTGCTGCTGCAGGTGCTCAGCCATGCGGCCGGCGTCACAGATCCCATCAAGCTGCAGACGTACGCCAATTCGGTGGCCCTGATGGCCCGCTCGCTCAGCTTCAATCCCCACCACGAGTCGCCGTTCACCCAGAATGCCAGGCGCCACAACATCGATGCGCCTGGCGGCAAGCCGGACGACGTAACCGTCATCCTGGCCAGCGTTGTTTAACTGGCCAGCTTGATTGGGATGCTGGCTCTGATGCAATGCACTTTGTGATACTGCAGTAACTATCTCATTAAAAGGAATGCCGGAATGCCCCACAGTCACGCCCACCACTCATCAATCCCATCTGTGTGCACTCACTGGCAGCTGTGCACAGCTCCAAGCTATTCCTGTTCAGCTGTGGGCAATTGCCAGTGAATGCTCTGGACTCATGCACACACCAGGAGACGGGATTGTCTACAGCACAGCAAAAACAAAAACCCCCCCAAAAAAATACGTTCCAATCGGCATAGATATCTCTCTCTCTCAATATATATATGTAGATAAATATGTATATTTAGGGCATAGTTAGAGTTAGTTCAATCTTCGAAATTCGGCATTCCATGTTGATCTAGCTCGCAGGCATCAGATGCCCCACTCGAACTGACGCCATTGGCCAAACGAAACCCTCGCCCCTGCATGCCCAAGTCCACCCGCCTGAGCCTTAGACCTTCTTGACACATTCAAATGCAAAATTAAGTCGAGTGTTTTTTTTTTTTATCTTCTGGCATAAGGATATTAAACTTTACCTTTGCGCTAGAAAAGTGTCTTCATTTGTTTTTATAGGGAATTGCTGCGATTCCATTTTAAGCCAATCGACACAGATCTGACTATCCCATCACAAGACTGAAAATTTAATGCAAATTTAAGTAAACTCTTTAAAATATCGAAATGAGTTTGGATCTTTCTTTTGTTGTTTTCGTTTTCTTTGTTTTTCCCGGAGTACTTAACGAGTTTTTCGATTCCAGGCATAGAGAGTTGGGGGGGCAGCCTCCATTATGCGACTCGCTGCTGGCCATCTTCACCCATCCTGGCCCGGTCAGATAACATTCCACATACTAGACGCATCCAGGTTGTTGTCGCTGTCGCTGTTGCTGTTGCTGTTGCTGTTGCTGTCGGCTTAATTGAAAAATGTTGCCTGCTGCATGTCAACATTTTGATTTCCAATATGTTGTCTGCCACATGTATCCAGGGGCTGCTCGCATTATAAATGGGGGCGCGCCCTGTGCAAAATTTGGCTTAAAATTTCACACGTTTGCCCGCGACATATGTCGCCCCGGTCAGAGCTAGCGTTGGCGTTGGCCTATGGCTCGGTTTAACCACTTCCGCATGGGGCACCGGCCGTCAAATGCAGAGCGAAGGCCCGCACCTCTGCCCACTGCCTACTGTCGCCTGCTGGCCCACACCCCAACGACATTTACCGTTAGCATATCAATAACACACGCTGCGCCACAGACCGGACTCATAAAATATGGCAACGGCAACAGCAACAGTGGCAACAGTCGGTCGCTCGTCAACTTCCACGGGCCATGTGAAACGTGACGCGTGATGCCAGCCAGCAACGCCTTGCTGCCACACACATTCACACACACACACACACACACACACACACACACACACACACACACACATCCTCTAGGTGTGCCGCGACCCGTTTGATTTTGCATTTCATGCAAATTTTTGGTAGCGACCGTCGACGATGACAAGGCGCACTACAGCGGACAGTAGATTAGGGTAGAGGCGGGTAGAGGCAGGCGCGCAACTCTGTCGCATCATCGGAAATGAATCATTTGCTTCGTTTGTCGGCATCCGCTTGGCGCTTATTTCCGTTGCGTCGCTCATTTTTGGTCTAAACCAGCGCCAGCCAAACAACCAAACGACCAAACGGCCAAACGGCCAACCGGCGAATCATCCAACCAGCCAACCAGGCAACCAGCCGACCAACTGGTCGAGAGCACGGCCTGACATGTGTGCGCGGCACGCTTCCGTGACAGAACATGGAACCAAGATGGGGGCTCACACACAGGTAACATTTTTACACCGTTGCCTTTGACACCTGTCGTTGTGCGACAACGGCCTCGAAGAGTGCGAGTCGAGAGACTGGAAAACGGCGTTGTAGGAAACGTGATATAGAGCGGAGTGTTGGACAGGCGACTGCATTAACTAATTAGTAGTGCCTAAAATGTAATATGTACTATTAGACTAGTTTTTAGTATATTGTATGATTAAGAGAATTGATTTAACAATAAATTTGTATATAATGTAAGAGAGTGCGTAAGATATATGGGATCTGTCTGTAGAGATTAGGGCTCAGATTTGCCATGTCTCTCTCTCTCTCTCGCTCTATCTCTCTTTACTTCTTACTCTTTCTGCTTACGTCTATCACTCTTTTGACTTATTATCCTCAATTCATGAGATCAACAATTCTCATTAATTCATAGCAATTCTCTGGCTAGTATTGGAGACTTGAGATTTATCCCAAAACGAATATCTTGTGAGTTCAGCTAAGTGTGATCTTTCTCTCTATCTCTCTTGCACTCTCGTTCTCTAGTTCTCTCTCTCTCTTTCTCTATCTCCCCTTCTCTTTCAATCTCTCTCACATTCCCTCTCTATCTATTTCTCTCTCACTATCCTCTATCTCGCTCTCTCTCGATCTATCTCTCCTCTATTTATCTCTTCACTCCGTACTCCTTGCACTATTTCGTTCTCTCTCTCTCTCTCTCTCTCTCTCTCTCTCTCTCTGACTTTTTCTCAGTTATACCTCCTTCTCTACCTTCTCTAACTATACTTCCAACTTGAGATTTTATTAAAACAAAATTATTCTCTCCGACATAGAACTTTTCTCTACAATTTTTGGGTTTTCTTCTGCTTTTTGTTGGGTCTTGGATATCTGGACTGGAGACAGTGGCCCGCATATTAGTGGCCTTTTGCTTATCCATCCATTTAAACTTCTTTCCGCCAGCCCATCCATCAGCTCATCCTTTTATCTATCCGTCCGTCCGTCTGTCTGTCCGTCCGTTCGGTAGTCCGCTCATCCATGCGTTTGTCCACACTCATTTGAGTCCCGCATAAATCAATTGCACTTGTCATCAACTCAATTAATTTTTGGCAAACAAAGTGCAGTAAATCAATTGCTTTGGCAGCTCGGCTCGTTGACCATGCCCAGGCGCCCGGGCAGTGGGCCAGGCACGGGTTACGGCACGAGGGTCAACGTGGCCAGAATGTCCTTTTACTGTTGCGCTCCCATTTTTGGATATACATATATATATATTTTTTTTCCTCCTGTTTCTGCTTGCCTCCCCCCGCCCCTTTTCGACGTTTGTCATTGGCATTTTTTGTCACTCGGCGCAGTTTTTGCTGTTTTATTTGTGCGTTGCATTCAGTTTCTGTCCTCATCGGACAGCGGACTACGGCCGACTACGGACTGCCTGCCGACTACCAACTGTCGACTGCCGACTGCCGACTACGGACTGTCGACTGTCCATTTTATGAGCCGCCGCCCCATGCATGTTGACACTGTATCAAATGGGGTTAAAAAGTGATTAAAGTAGGTTTGGCAAATGTCAACAATGTTTATACCGTGGCCATTGCCCGGGTTCGACTGCGGGCTCGCAGCGAGCAGCTGGAATGGTTTGGTTGGGCGGGGGGGTTCATCTGGTGGCGGGGGGGCTTAGGCGAGCAACTGTCGTGCGAGTGCTCTTGACGTTTCGGTATGCAGACCAGCTGGTTCGCTGGACCCAGCCCAGCCCAGCCCACCTCAGGCCTCTGCCGCACTTCATGTCAGCTGCCCACCTTCAGTCAGTCGTTCGTTTGGCTGCTCGATTCGATTTGCAATTTTTTACATCATATCGCTGCCCTTCAGCGGCCCTCCATTACAGCCATTGATACAGGCGAACAAACCACGACCGAATCCACATGAACCCACCCATCCGTCCGACGTTCAGTCGCGTCCATAGACAGCGTTAAATTATGCAACTTTTTCTTTCTTTTGCCATGCGAAAATTGAATTTATGCATTTGCGCTCCTGGCCGACATGTTTTTCATATCCGCACTTCGCAAGGGCCCCGGCACGGTGACAGGATCTGCATCTGACACATCCAGCGTTCCCCTGGCTGTGTGCCAGATATGTTAAATAAAACCAATCGGCATTGATATTTGCAAAATATTTACTTAGCTAAGGTGAAGGCTGAACCATGTTTAATCAGCGGTAAATTCCTGTTTGATTGGGACTTGTACCGAGGAATCCTTGTCTGAAAGATCCTTGTCCGAATGGTACTTATGCAAGGGATCCTTGTCTGAAAGATCCTTGTCCGAGTGGTACTTATGCGAGGGAACTTTATGCGAGGGATCCTTGTGCGAGGGATTCCTGCCCGAAGGATCCTTGTGCGAGGGATCCTTTTCTGAGGGATCTCTGTCCCAGAGATCCTTGTGAGAGGGATTCGACTTTTCACAAATTCAATATCATAAATATATAACTTAAGAATTAAAATACCTCTAGATAATCAGATATTCAACTTCATCAACCTTCAATTTAACTCTTTTCTTATACATCAATTTATCAATTTATTCGATACTCAACTGATTCTAGTTTATGCTCAAGTTAGTGTCTAATCTCAGCCTCTACTCAAGGGGCGGGACAATCGTCTGATGCTCACTGCATAATTACATGGCTCGCATGCACAGAATCCCTGTTGAGAATTCAAATTTGGAATCCAAATTTTGTTTGTGTGACATGAAAATCATGTCCGGGCTGGTCGACGATGGGTAATTTCTATGCAGCCTTTGTCTTCGACTCCGATTCCGAGCCAGAGGGTTCGGGCGATTTATTATCAACGAAATACTCTTAAAATTGTTGCGTAACTTCCAAATGCAACTGCAACTGCAGCCAGCTAGCCAACAGACAGCAGAGTAAACAAGCCCAAAAGATTGTACGTGTGTGTGTGTGTGTGTGTATGGGGGTCGCATATATCTATATATAAATTACACACCCACATGTATAAATTACCTTTTGATAAATCTCAGTCATCTCTCTTTCTCGCTCGTTCTCAATCTGAAAGCCAAGTAGTCAAAATGCAGAAACATATAGAAAAATGTGCAGTCATGGAATGGAAGAGCAGGAGGCGGACATGAAGGCAGGGCAAGGGTAAGAGCAAGAGAGTGGGCGATGGGCGTGGCAGCACTGTAAGCTGTGTTTGTATAACTGTGCTATGCACACACTGTCGCACTTGAGAAATCTTTTCGAACGTAAATCAATCCGTGCAGCTACATCATCGTCCGACCAAAACTACGACTGCGACGCTTTTCCGGCTGAGAGCCTGGCCAGAAACTACACCAATTGCTTTTCTTGATTGTTTTGGTTGTTGTTACTGCTGCTGCTGCTGCTGCTGCTGCTGCTGCGGCTGCTGCTGCGGCTGTGCCTGGCCACATATCGAAATGTAAATTCAAGTTTCAGTTGAAATACTCGTAAGCCCCGCAGCCGTTGCTCAGAGCTGGCCAGCCGGACCCGGCAGTCGCCCACTTGCGGAGAGCTATGACAAAAACGAAGCTCTACAAAAGCGATAACGACACTCATCATCAACCAAAGTCGGATTTGCTAGCTGCCTGGCCCAAACTAACTCTGCCTGCTTCGCTCTTGGTATCTCACTCTCTCTCTCTCTCTCTCACTCTCACTCTCTCTCTCTCTCTGTCTTGCGTATGCATTTCAAAAACGCAATTTTTGGTCCTTTTGGCCAGAAGTTGCATTGCATTGCGTTGAACAATTTCGTTTACTTTGACCCCGGACTCTGGACTAAAAAGATGACCAAGAGTTTGCCACGTTTTGAGCCGTTCTGCCGACTCCTGCTGCTCAGCAATGGCCCTGGCTGCAGCTCTAGCTCCTACTTCTACTTCTACTCCTGCTCCAGCTCCAGCTCCAGCTCCTGCTTACGTTCTAGTTCCCTCTCTGCTCGGCTGCTGTGTATTTTCCGTTTTCGTTTACGCATCGTTTGAAATTTCTATGAATTGTAGATGAAATCGGGCCAGCCCGTGGTCCAGCTAAGACTCATGTGTTACACTGTGTGGCAGATATACCAACTGCTATGTGTGTGTGTGTGTGTGTGTGCGTGTGTGTGTCTGCCTCCTCTTATGACACCTAACCCAGTGCCCTGATCCCGCAACCCCTGGAGTCAGCGGAGTGCATTTCACTTGCAGCGCCCCCAGAGCGTGCGACAGTGCATTTGGTGAGCTCTAACTTGACGATTCTGTTGCGGCACCAGCGACACCAGCAGTAGCGACAACAACAACAACAAATTGAAAATGCCACCACACCACAAGGAGCACTTCAAATCCCAGGGCACAGAACAAGGCAAAACACAAAAACAGAAACAGAAAAAAAAGAAGAATAAAAACCTTGCAGTTGGCCCGTTGCGTAAGGATTACAATGAGAGAGTGAATGCAGCTGCCGGGCTGGGGCCAATCTTTCATGACGAAACAAATATCCTCATAATTCAACAGGAAAATTGCCTGGACTGGCAATGGACAACGGACGGCTCCTCCATAGGCCTATGCCAGAGGCTCCACTCCACTGCAGATGGGTCAGGAGAAGGGGCAGCGGGAGGGTGAGATTGGGGTGAGATTGTGCCTTTGCCTTCTGCTGCCGGCGACATCGTTTGTTACTCCTGTTGGAAGTGTGCATGTGTGTGCCTGTGCGTGCGTGTGTGTTCCTGTGCGGCATTTGCTTTTGTTGGTTTTCGGTGATTTGCTTTGTCAGTGACAAAAATAATAACAGCCAGCCGCCGGCAATGGGGCCCAAGTCATGTGCCTCGGCTGCCCCGGCTCCATATGTCAAGGACCAGCCACAGCCATTGTCTAGGTACGTACGCCCCTCTCCCACTGCCACTCCCACTCGTATGCGTATGCGTGGGCTGTTGGCCATTTTTAATTACCACAATTTGAATTGCTTAAATAACTATTTGGATAACAATCAGTTGTATGCCTGGTGCAACATCAAAGCCAAGCCGCCTCGCCTCTGACATGGCCTTAAGTCCTCTCTCTCTCTCTATCTCTCTCTCCCACCCGCTCTGGGGATTAACTGAGTCGTATGCTCAGTGCCGTGCGATTAGTTTCTATTTGACTAATGAACTTGGCCCCCGAGGCACTTGCCCACCGTTCACGTTGGCCATAACTGGCCCGACGGCTGCTCAGACTCAGCTCGACTTGCAGAGAGCCCCATTGATAAGCACAACTATTCTATAGCATCGGCATCGTAGTACTCCGATTGCTGCCTGATGGTGTTATATAAATGTAAATCTCTTATAGAAGTCTTGCCTGCCTTCAAGTCTGTTCGTCTGGCCAACCCATGCCCCCTCGATGGGGCATTCCTTCGACTCGTAAACCTGCCAAGTCTTACGGCTTTGCTGCAAATACGAACAATAAACATTTCGTGTAGTTCTAACTTTTTTCTTTGCATTCATTCAAATGCGGCCTAAACAAACTTTGGGGCAGGCGACTCAGCCCGTCGTGGGCCACGTCGTCTCGCTCGTTTGTCTCATAAATAATCAACCAATTATTTTGCTGTCAATTTCAACACGGCCGGCGAAAACGCAATGCCAACGCCTACCCAGGCTGCAGGCGGGCCAACGAGCTGGCGACGTGCCGAGCCGGGCCGGGCAGGACATGCAACCCGCTGGGCTGGATGTCTTCGTCTTCGTCCTTGCCTTTGTCTTTCCCTTTTTCCGCGGCCAGCGTCTGCGACTGTGCGGACACGCAACACGGCGCAGCGGCGCAATAAATTTTGGCTGCAGCGCCAAAAAATCCAAGCCAATGCACATACAAAAGGACCGCGACTATGAACTCCTTGGACTTGGAGTCGGTGTTGGAGTCACAGTTGGAGTCCGAGTTGAAGTTGGAGTCGGAGTCTGTTGAGTTTGTCCAAGGAATTTGCCAAAGATCCGTTACCGTAAATGGCAGCCGTGGCAGTTGTTGCAGTGGCATGACTCGGCGAAAGAAGTAAAACAGCGGCAAGCACTTAAAGCCTTCCCCTGTCTGAGTAAGTGTGTGTGTGTGTGCATGAAATCTCTCTCATGCCACGATTCAATTTCACGGCCGTATATCATTGCGTTTTCAGTTACACTGCTCAGCAATGCACCGTGGAACCAGAGGCGGAATACAAAAGCAAAAGTGAGTGATAGTGCGGCAGGAGCTAAAGCAGATTTTCGTCAGGATGCTCAATGGATATGATAATACAATAATGCTAATAATAAGAAAAATAATAAATAAAAAAAAAAAAAATAATTGTTAAAAAAAAAAAAAAAAAAAAAAAAAAA